GGGCGGCAACGGGGCCTTGAGAGGGCGGCGACGGGGCCGCGATAGGGCAGCGACAGAGCCGCGATAGGGCGGCGACGGGGCCGCAAGAGGGCGGCGACGGGGCCGTGATAGGGCGGCGAGGGGTCCGCAAGAGGGCGGCGACGGGGCCGCGATAGGGCGGCGACGGGGACGCGATACGGCGGCGCGACGGCCGCTAGGAGGGCGGCGACGGGGTCGCGAGGGGCCGTGAGAGAGGGGGAGGGCCGCTGAGGGCGGCGCGGCGGGTCGCTAAGGGGAGGGCAGTACACAGGGCGTGCCTCGGTCGGGAGCGACTCAATCTAAGGGCAGGAAAAAAATAATGGATGTTCAGTGGTGGGCCCTAGGAAGTTCCCACGAGGGAACCTGCTCTATACCATGTGAGATTTGAGGAATGAAATGAACTAGCACAAAGTTGGGTACAAGTAGGAAACCCTAGGAAACTGTACCCCATAGTGTCTACCCCACTATAGCCTACACAAGCTATATAATATGAGTTTGACACTGTGCTGCCTCGCATCGTCCGCATCCATGGAGCCTTCTAAGTCGCTCTAGACCCGCTCATCTGGCGTGAAGCTGCTACTTGCGTCCTCGACGACAGGCGACTCCTGGTGTAGTTCGGCGTTTTCTTTTCGCACGCGCTCCATCTCTGCAGTCATGCCCTTCAAGTTGGCCTGTATCGCACGGAACTGTTGCATGAACTCGTTAAACTCGGCCTTCCATGTGCCTCAGGCTTCGTTGAACGGGCAGGGGATGACTAGCGATTTTTCTGACTTTGGTGAAGGCGTAAACGCTATCGTAGTCGGAGTGAAATTATCGTATCTATTTCACAGGCCAACCGCTTTATAGCCCACCAAGTCTATCGCTCCCCTTATACAAACTACCTCGGAAACGCGAGGGTAACCTAGGGAAGTAGGCTCTGATACCAAGTGTTATGAGTTGTGAAAGAAAAGAGTGCGCAATATTCAATAACGCGGAAGTGATTCCAACGTCTCACAACGAGGCCTAGGACTAATATGGCAATGCTAGCAGGGTCGCGAGATGGTTGGGTGCAGGTTCGGGGTTGGAAAACCCGAAGGCGACGCGGTGATGGTTCGGAAGGCGAGGTCGGCGGACCGAGCCTGGTTTTCCGAAAACTGGGGTTGTATGCGTACAGTGTGACCCAGTAAGGAATCTGAGATTGTTCCTTACAGCGTGGCAGTTCTCGCTATGGTTATATAAAGGCTGTAACCAGGTATAGTAAAGCATAGAGCAGCTAGAAATATGGTCTACACAAACCAACAACACAAAGGCGTACGTAAGAAACACGTAATTCCTTTATCTAGTAATAACCAGCAGCAAGGCTGGGGAGCTGTCTATGCTAAAAAAGAGGAGGATTTAGAGAGGGCAAAAGAGATCTCCAAACATCTAGGAGCAACGGATGTTTGGGTAGATAGAAAGTGTCAAATGTTGTAGCTTGTAGTGAGGCTTGTCTTAGGGGGTACAAATGTTAGGGTTTGCTATGTGTACCCCAACCCACATCAATGAACCAACACTTTCATTCTTGACATTGTATCACCTAGGTTAGGATCATGTAGGATCCCGTTCCTCCCGCCCGAGCCTGACGCACCTCACCCGTTCTGTCGCGTAACCCTGCTGTAGCTGTCGACACTCTCCCGTTCCGTGTCCCACTTGTTTGCGACCGGTCTCGCGTGCCCGTTAAGCCGCCTTGCCTGCCCCGTTAGGCCCTCCGCGGGCCGTGCCTTCGCGCCGCCGCGCCTGCCCGTTCTGCCCACCGCGGGCACTGTCTTCGCGTCGCCGCGCCTGCCCGTTAGGTCGCTGCCACGCCTGCCCGTTAGGCTGCCGCCGCGCCTGCCCGTTAGGCCCGCTGCGGGCCCTGCCTTTGCGCCGCCGCGCCTGCCCAATCTTCCCACCGCGGGCCCTGTCTTCGCGCCACCACGCCTGCCCGTTATGTCGTCGCTGCGCCTGCCCGTCAGGCTGCCTCTGCGCCTGCCCGTTAGGCCCACCGCGGGCCCTGCCTTTGCGCCGCCGCGCCTGCCCATTACGCCCACCGCGGGCCCTATCTTCGCGGCGCCGTGTCTTCCCGTTAGGCCGCCACCGCGCCTGCCCGTTAGGCTGCCGCTGCGCCTGTTCGTTAGGTCCGTCGAGGGCCCTGCCTTTTGCGCCCGTCGCGGGCCTGCCCTAGCCGTCCGCAGCGCCTGCCTTTTGCGCCCGTCGCGGGCCCGCCCTAGCCGCCCGCTGTACTTGCCCGTTCGGCCAGCCGCGGACCCCGACCTAGCCACCCGCCGAGCCTGCTAGTTAGGCCCGCCACGAGCCCCGCCCTAGCCGTCCGCCGCGCCTGCCTTTTGCGCACGCTTGCGTGCCTCTCCACCCGCCCACCCACACGCCAGTCCTACCCGCCCGCCCGCCTGTCTCCTTGCCGTGCTTGTCGCCAAGCCCACGACTGCCGCTGAGTTTCCTGCCGCGCCTACCGCTGCGCCTTGCCAGCCTCGTAGCTTCAGCTTCCACTATGGCGACCCTCAGGGTCCTTCGCTTTGACGCCGAGGGTAGGCCCCTCGAGTTCTTTGTCTGGCTTCAGCGTGCGCAGAGTCTCCTAGCGAGTTAGGTGCAGGCAAGCGAGTCCTTGTGGGAGCACGCTTCTGGTGACATCCCTAGGCCCCTTGATCTTGTACCCTTAGGCGCTGACGCTAGCTCTACCGACAGAGACCGATATGCCCGCCAGCGTGCTGACCTCACAGCGCGGACCTCGCGTGACGCTGCGGCCTGCATTGCCCTCAGCAGCCTCCTCCCTGAGTCTGAGGAGACCCACTTCACTTAGGTTCGCACGGCTAGTGAGTTCCTAACTGCGATCAAGGCCCGCTACGCTACTCCCACCACTGTCTCTCTAGGTCGCCTGTTCCTTCCGTAACTGTTTCCTGACCTCGCCTCATTTGAGCGCTCTACTAACTTGATTGCTCACCTCCGCTCGCTCGATTCTAGCTACTGCGCTGCTTGCACTGAGGCACAGCTTGCACTGCTTCCTCCCCCCATGGCGATCACTATCTATTTCATCGCCACTAGCCCCCTTGACCGCCTTGCCTCGGTTCGTGACACGCTTCTTCTGAAGCACCCTAGCGAGCTCACTATTGAGGCCCTTGAGTCAGCACCCAAGGACGTCAAGAGCAACCTTCGCTCCATAGCCTCTGCCTCTGGTACTGTGCCCCCTCCACTGTTCTACGGGTGCACTGTCCCTTAGCTGCCCACCTTTGCCGCCTCTCTCGCCACTGCTGCTACTAACGTGACCGCAACTGCTGTTACAACTTATTCGCTGTCTTGGGGTAGGGGTGGCAAGAGGGGCGGTCAGGGTGCAGGCGGCGGCGGCGGCGGAGGTGGTGGGGGTGGCGTGGCGACCGGTGGTGGCGCGAGTGCAGGGTCTGGTGACTCCCCTGCTGGAGCTGGTGGTGGCCTTGCCCGGGTTTGTTAGTCGCCCCCTAGTCTGCCGACTGCAGTGGGTGGTGCAGCGGCGTGGTACTTGACTCAGTGACAGCAGCAGCTGCAGCAGAAGTAGCCTCTCCCCTCACCGCAGCCTCAGCAGCAGTAGTGGCAGCAGCAGGCTTCGGGGTCAAGACAGCGTCAGCTCCAGCGAGGTGTTGTTCACCCTCCGTGCACCTATCAGGTCCTGATGGGTGCTCGCCGGGGCCAGCCTTGTCAACGTGCCCACCCTCCTGGTCAGTGCTTTGCTTAGCTTACTGACACGGTCCGTTTGGCCTTCGCCGTTGGTGGCCCTGCCCTTGACTGGTTTCCTCTTGTTCAAACGTACGGCTCTGCTTTGTGGGGCATGTCAGCTTCTCAATTAGTTGATCTCTTAGGAGCTCCTTATGCTATGTATGCTGTTGTTGACTCTAGTGCTTCTGACTCAGTTTACTCGAGTGTTGTTAGCTTAGGTGCTAGTTTTGTTGAGATGCATGTTGCTAGTGTAGGTACTTGTGTAGACACTAGTCCAGGAGCTGCTCCGGGGGACGCTTCGCTGTCTTTCACTCTAGACTCTGGAGCTTCGCACTGTTTCTTCCGCGACCGCACGACACTCACACCTCTTCACCTTTGGGTCTCTGACCGGGTTCCACGTCCCCTCGTTCTCGAGGAACTTGGTGGGCATGAGGCCTCTCGTGAGTTAGCACGTGGGTGTGTGGTTTGAGCCCTCTGGCGAGACCGCAGTGTGTGTTGACGGGGCCTCTTTCCAGCCTCTTACCACCTTTACTGCTGAGCCGGGCTCCGGTCTCTACACTCTTCACACTGGCCCCGGTGGGCGGCAGCAGCAGCAGCCGCTACTGCCCCCGGCCCCTGTCCCTTCCCCCCGTCTGGTCCCTGCGTCTCACCAGGTTACCGCGTCCCCCCAGGTAGCTGTGTCTGGTCGTGTTCCCGCGTCTGGTCCAATTGCTGCGTCTTGCTCCTGCCGGTTGCTTGCCCACCCTACCGTTCTGTGGCACCACCGGATGGGGCACCCGTCCCCTACTCGTCTGTGCGCTATGACTCGTCCGCGTCTTGTCTAAGGCCTCCTGTGTGTCTTGCCGTTGCTCCCGGCGTCCCTTGCACCACCGTGCGGTCCCTATGTCGAGGGTCGGCTGCGTGCCACCCCTCAATCCTCCTTCCTTCGTCCGGCCACCCATCTGTTTGAGACAATCCACTTTGACGTCTGGGGCCCCGCCCCTCGCCTTGGCCCTGAGCGTGAGCGTTTCTTTCTGGTGGTCGTTGATGACTACACCTGCTACACCACAGTGTTCCCCCTGGCAAAGAAGTCATAGGTGACTTCTACGCTGATCAGGTGGTTGCTTACCACAAAGGATACTCGTGGTTGTCGTGTCAGCTGTCTTCACTCCAACCGCGGGGGTGAGTTTCGCTCCGGCTTTCTTGCTGGATTCTGTCGCGAGCAGGACATTTGTCACTCCTGGACGCTTCCAGAGTCCTCACAGCAGAATGGGGTTGCTGAGCGCCGCATAGGCTTGGTCATGGAGATCGCCCGCACCTTATTGACTCACGCCCGTGCCCCCCATTTTCTGTGGCCCTACGCGGTTCGGTACGCTGCTCACCAGCTGAACCTCTGGCCGCGTGTCTCTCGGCCAGAGGTTTTACCGACCGGTCTTTGGACTAGGTCCCCTGGTGTTGCGTCGCGGTTTCATGTCTGGGGTTGCTTGGCTCTTGTTCGCGACACCTCCGCGGACAAGCTCTCGCCTCGCGCCGTTCCATGTGTCTTCTTCGGTTTCCCTGAGGAGTCCTCTGACTTCACCTTTTACTACCCTCCCTCTCACCGGTTCTTCGGCTCCCGTTACGTCCGTTTCGAGGAGTTCGTCCCCTACTACGTCAGGTACCCCTGTCGAGGTCTCCTGGTTCCTCCTCCCCCCCTCTTCCTGACCCCCGCTCTATTAGAAGGAAATGCTGCCATGAGCAACAAAATGTCTGCGCTGGGATTCGAACTCGTGACCTTAAAATCTGTCCTGAAAGTGTCTCAGGACAGATTCAGGACAGTTTCTGCTAAGGCGCTGGTTATGGTGCACGCGAATTTCGAACTGAAGACCTTTTGATTCAGGTGTCAAGAAAGTGTCTTGTCAGGACAGATTGGGGACAGTTTGGGGACAGATTGGGGACAGTTTGGCGAAATCGATCTCGGGTCGCGTTCGGTTTGAAACTCGGCAGCGAAGTGTCGAAGTAAACGAAATTCGCACGGGAGTTACAGTCGGTGGTCGACGGAATTTTTGTCGCGGAAATTCTCGTCTACGGAATTCCAGTCAATGGAATCTGCTCGGCGAAATTCAAGGCACCAAATTTTGCATCGACGAAATTTAGCGTGCGACCCGGGTCGACACTTTCTTATGTGCTTTTATTTTGTATTGCGTCCTAGTATAAAACCAGAGAGCACAAACCAGAAATTAACCAAGTCATTATCACTGCTATGTTTATGTGTAACTCTGGCTTTAGTGGACCATTTCATGCAATCTTTGGTTTGATGGAATTGTGCTTTCAAGCTCTATCAAGCTGCTATAGTAGTGAAATTTTACGTGGTATCAGAGCTGCGTTATCTGCGTCGATCCAACTAGCAGCTTGTTCCGTCCTCCCGTCACTTCGTTCCTACGTTGGTGTGGCCGACGCTTGTTTTGACCGCGCATGGAGTGGTTAACAAGTGCTGAAGGCCTGAATTCCCGTTAGGAGCTGGAGGCGTCCGTTCGTGAGCACCACCCTAACTTGCGTGATGATGAGGTCGACCTCATTGTGGACGATCGTCTACTATGCATGGTTCGGGAGCGCGCGGCGGAGCAAGCACCTGCGAGTGGCCAGTAAGGAGGAACTGGTGTAGGAGGAGCTGTGCACGAAGCTCCAACTGCCCTGGGCATTGGCGGAGGAGTTGTTGCACCGACCATTGACACGGGAATGATCGGGGCGAGCTACGGTCAATTCAAGTTGGGAGTTGAACACATCTTTGTGACGTCGCTGCTGGAGGGAAGGCACGACCTTACCGCGTGGGTCAGCGCCATCCGACCTCAGCTCCAGTGTGCTGATTTGTAGCAGTTTTGCAACGGGACAGCACCAAGCCCGGCCCCAAACATCCTCTTGCAACGAGAGGTGTACGCAAAGGGCCAAATGCTTGCATTCATGGTGCTGAACCGATGTGTTTCTCCACCCATCCGAATGTCCATCTCTAGTTTCTCTCAGCAAGAGAAAGCCGAGCAGCTAGTATGGGCATATATCTTGTCTACTTATCAAATTTGTGATGCCCTCCATGCTTCCCTACTTCAGACCTACTTAGCCCAACTCAGGAAGGGAGATGATGAGACGGCGGAATCCTACTGCAATATGACCGCACCATCCGAGCGGAGCTGCTGACCATTGGACAGGAGGTCCACATGGCCACGTTTGCCGCCCACGTGCTAAAGGGCCTACCACTGGATTACGGATTTCTTCGCCGCAAGCTCGATATTTCCAGCCCTGACATGATGGTGGAACGCGTGTGCAGCGAGGTGTTGATCGAGGAGCAGACTCTATCCATCGAGCAGAGTTACAGGCAGATCACCAGCGATGCATCTGCTATTGCGGGCGCTGTCAACACCATCGTGGCTACAACGGGGGTCAACGGGAAGGAAGGAAAAGGGGGACGGGAGCAGACGGACAAGAAGAAGGACGGCAAGTGGGAGAAGAAGCGAGCCCCCTTGAAGGGGCGCTGCTACAACTGCAATGAGGAGGGGCACATGGCTGCCAAGTGCCCCAACAAGAAGAAAGATACAACGTCTGTGGCAGCCGCGAACGTAGCTGAAGGAGACGGGAAGGGCGTGTCGCTCACTGTCGCGTGTTCGGCTGCTAAGTTGCTGGCCGACAACAAGGACTTGTGGTTTCTTGACTCACGATGCTCCCAACACATGACCGACCGCAAGGAGTGGTTCACGGTGATCCGTGACCCATCTGCAACGAAATCGGTCAAAGGGTTTGATGGTTCTATGCAGAATGTTGCCGGTGCTGGTGAGGTTTTGCTGGAGGGCACTAACGGCTTGCATGTGACCCTACATGATGTCCTGTTTGTGCCAGGAATGAAGGCCAACTTGGTCTCCCATGGGCAGCTCTTGGATAAGGGAGCAAAGCTGCAAACCGAGGAAGGTGTCACTCGCATCATCGCATCAGGAGGTCAAGTGGCTGCAACGGCACGATACCGCCATCGCCTTCACTACCTTGACCTGAAACCGGGGCCAGCAAGGAACGGTGCAACGGCTGCAGCAGCATGCAACGGCACGGCGGCTGAAGCGGCATGCACCAATATGGCGGGTGGAGCGGCGAGCAACGGCACAGGGGCTGCAACAGCATGCAACGGCACGGCGGCTGCAGTGGCATGCACCAATTTGGCGGGTGGAGCGGCGAGCAACGGCACGACGGCTGCAGCGGCATGCAACGGCAGGGCGGCTGCGGCGGCATGCAACGGTAGGGCGGCTGCGGCGGCATGCAAAGGCACGGTGGTTGCAGCAATATGCAACAATACAGCAGCTACAGCGGCATGCAATGGCACGGCGGCTGAGGTGGCAGGCAATGGTATGCCTAAGATATTTGCTGAGGTGGTGTCAAGCGCGCTGGAAGAGAATGACGAAGCGGCCAGCCTCACAACATATGCGGTGGGGATCGAGGCGATGCTCAACCTGCGACACACTCACCTTGAGAATGACCATGCTGGTGCGGTGCAGTGGACAGCCACAGACAGTGTCATGCTAGGCATGGACGTAGAGAAAGGAGGGGAGGACACGTTGAGCGCCTCCTCCCAAGAAGCCAAACTCACTCGTCAAACGCTTCCGCTGCCTGACGTGCGAGAGGGGGAGGTTCTTGGGATGGTCCATGGCCCTGAGCAGAATCAGCCGCCGTCACGTACCGTCATCATAATCCCAGTGCCGTCCATGCAAGGGGGCGATCAATCGTTTGATCGTTTGGTTGACCCTTTGGGCAGCAATGCAACCATGGCACCGCCAGCTCTCTGCCCATCCTTAGCAGCTGGCTTGGCACCTCTGGGACCAGAGGTTGGCCCCTCTGCATATGAACGTCGTGCAGCTAATGAAGACAAGGAAGGAGAGGCAGCGGACCTGAAATCGGCGGCAACTCATGGGAAGGACCCCATACCCACGGTTCCGCCCCTCTAGCCCACTCCCCCACCCCCATGTCATTCTAGCAGGTCCAACAAGGGTATGCCACTTGTTCGGCTTCCCGCATCCACCATGATGGCCTTGGATGCGGTTGATGGCAACAACATGTACGGCATTGCATTCCTTGCTGGAGGTGCCTATGGCACGGATATCTACTATGATGTGGAGTACTTGGATGAGGCTGATGAGGAGGAAGGGAGATTGAGGAGCATCATCATCAACCTCGGAGTAACCTTAACCGGACTTGAAGGCAAGGTGGTGGACAAAGGTCTCCTCGTGGTGGAATACATGTCATCTACGGAAGGCTATCTTAGTCTGCAGATTGTGCGTGACCACCCCAACAAGATGTCAGAATCCCAACCACTAGACCATTGGGATAAAAGGGCTTGTTTCAGTAGCGGGTCAGTACGCCCATAACCCCCCAGGCAAACGTGCCTGTAACCCCCCCTAGGATCGATCGGGGATCTCACAGTGTAGCTCTACTAACACCCCCCCACACTGGGAGGCCCAGGACTGAGCACAGTGGCAAGGGCCAACATGTGCATACACCGGGATTCGAACCCGAGACCGCTCTGATACCATGTCAGAATCCCAACCACTAGACCATTGGGATAAAAGGGCTTGTTTCAGTAGCGGGTCAGTGCGCCCATAACCCCCCAGGCAAACGCACCTGTAACCCCCCCTAGGATCGATCGGGGATCTCACAGTGTAGCTCTACTGACATAAGACACTCCTCCTACACCAGGATGCATACGTGGCGAAGGTGCAGCAGCGGTTCTTCAAGGGGGCGCCACCGAAGAAGCAGACGATCACCCCTCTCTCCTCTACCAGCTTTTTCATGGAGGGTGCTGAGCTGTTTGCCGATCGCACCATGGCCGACCACCTTGCAGCAGGTGCACATCTCAGGACGGATGCGCATTGGCATGAGCTATTCCGCACACTCTCCTATTGGGCTGCCTCACCGAACATGGGGCTGCTGTTCAAGGGAGGACCAGAGAGTTTGACTATCGTGGGGTACGCAGATGCAGATCATGCGGGCGACAAGGAGAACCGATTGTCCTCAGGAGGCTACCTCTTCAAGCTTGGCGGAGCTGCCATTTCATGGCAGGCCAAGAAGCTGCAGGGTGCGATCAAACTTTCCTCCACCGAGAGCGAGCTTGTGGATACGGTGGAAGCAGGAGAGGAGGGGCGCAAGCTAAGGTTCTTGCTGCGGGAGTTTCATCTGCTCAAGAAGGGTGTCCCCACCACCCTGTATGTCAACAACATGTCAGCGGTGCAGCTCACCCAGGCGGGCGGGCTGTAGGGGCGCATGAAGCATGTGGACTGTTGCCACATGTGGCTACCGGACATGGTGCGCATGAAGAAGTAAGAGCTGCAGCACATCCCTAGGACGGCGCAGCCCGCGGACTTCTTAACAAAGCGGCTCAACAAGGCAACCTTCAACCGATGTTGTGCAGCAGCCGGGCTGGTCCAGTGTGAGCGTGACAGCAAGGGGGCGTGTTAGACGGAAATGCTGCCATGAGGAACAAAATGTCTGCGCTGGGATTCAAACTCGTGACCTTCAAATATGTCCTGAAAGTGTCTCAAACAAGAGAGCACAAACCAGAAATTAACCAAGTCATTATCACTCCTATGTTTGTGTGTAACTGTGGCTATAGTGGACAATTTTCATGCAATCTTTGGTGCGTTAGAATCGTGCTTTTAAGCTCTATCAAGCTGCTAAAGTAGTGGAATTTTACACGCCCCCCCTCTTGCTACCTCGGTACAGCCTCCCCCCCTTGGTCCAGCTCTGTTAGGTATGTCGCTACCCCTCCCCCTTCGGTAGCCCCTCACGTGTAGCCTCCTTCCCCGCAGTCCTCTTCGCAGCCTACTGCAGACCCTGCGGGAGCCGGTGTTCGTAGAGAGGACCCTGCCAGTGCTAGCTCTGGAGGCGTTAGAGTTGGAGCAGAGAGTGTACCTGTGCCGAGTCATGGTTCTTGGGGTGCTGGAGTTGGATTTGAGCTCGTGGCTGCAGGAAACTCTACTCTTCCGAGAGTTGGTGCTGGTCGAGCTGACTCTGGGGGTGCTACGTCTGGGGGTGCGGGTGCGCCCCCAGTGGTTTTTGGTGAGCCTGCCCGTGTTGCTGTTGCTGGTGCTGACTCTGGTGGTGGTGCGCTTGGTGCTGTGGAGGCCGGTCGTGGGGCTGTCACAGCCCTGGCCACTACTCCTCCCCCCCAACCCCTACCCGACCCGACACCAGGCTCGTGTTCGCCGTGCCCGTGAGGAGCAGCTGGAGTTAGAGAGAGAGGAGCGAGAGTTGCAGCGGCTGGAGGAGGAGGAGCAGCAGCAGCAGCAGCAGCCGGGAGCAGCAGTAGTCGCACCTGGAGTAGCCCCGCTGGAGGAGCAGAGGTAACAGCCGCATCTGGAGCAGCAGCAGCCGCTACCTCTTCCTCCTGTCTTCGGTCTTCGGACCCTCGGTCTCCCCTCTCCCTCTCCTTCCTCCTCCCCCTCTCCTCCTGTCTACGGTCCCACGTTTCCTCCTCCCAACTCCTCTCCAGCTGTTCTTCCTCGTTCTCCGACTCCATTGTCTCCTCCTCCTTTGGACGCCTGGCCCTCTCGTTGCTCTCCTCGTGCTCGTCCCTCGTCCCCTGTGGCTCTCACTGACCTTCGTACTACCTTCCTAGTCCGCCTCATTTGTCTCAGTCTGTGCTTCCTTCTCCCCCTGAGTCGACCCTCACTGCTTCCCTCTGTACTCCTGTTACTGACTACTACTGCACATACCGTCCTGTTCTCTCTCGTGTTCTCGACTCTCTTGTTACCCACCCTCATGCCTCTCTGTCCTCGCTCTCCGCTCTTACTGCCGCACTCACTAGGCTTGCCTCTACTCGCCGCCTTGACTACACCACCGGTCTTGTGGCTACTCCTCCTACCAGTCCTCTGGCCGTCGGGGGTGAGTCTGCCCTTGGCTGTGACGCCCTAGAGGACAGGCAGTTTGAGCTAGAGTTCCTGGCAGCCACTTCCCCTCATCTCTGTGCCATGATGCTCACCCCTGAGAGAGACCCCGATGCCCTTGACATACCGACTCCTCGCACTTACGCCGAGGCAGTGTCAGGGCCTTGGGCCTCTCAGTAGAGAGCTGCCATGGACGCAGAGATGGCCTCCCACAGATCCATAGGCACCTACATCGACGAAGTTCACCCCCCTGGGGCGAACGTAGTCAATGGCATGTGGATCTACAGGGTGAAGCGGCCATCGGGATCTCCTCCGATCTTCAAGGCGCGTTACGCGGCTAGAGGTTACAGTCAGTGCGAGGGAGTTGACTTCTTTCAGACCTTAATGCCTACCCCGAAGATGACCTCTCTTCGGGTGTTATTGCACCTAGCAGCACACAGAGACTACGTGTTACACTCCCTCGACTTCTCCACTGCTTTCCTTTAGGGTAGCTTACACGAAGAGGTCTCGCTGTGTCGTCCCTTTGTATTCACTGGCACTTTCCCTCCTGGGACCCAGTGGAGGTTGAGGCGGCCGGTCTACGGTCTTCGTCAGGCTCCTCGTGAGTGCCACGACACTCTTCGTTCCACCTTGTCGGGCCTTGGTTTCCAGCCGTCTTCTGCCGACCCATAGCTGTTCATTCGTCGTGGCTCCACACTGTTCTTTGTTCTTGTCTACGTCGATGACCTGTTTTTTGCTACTGCTGATGGGGTTGCCTTGGCAGACATGAAGTCCGAACTGTAGAAGAGACACACGTGCACTAACCTAGGTGAGCTGCGCCACTACCTTGGCCTGCAGATCACCAGGGACAGAGCTGCGCGCACTATTATACTCTCACAGTCACACATGGTGCAGCAGGTCCTTCAGCGGTTCGTGTCAGAACATATAGTGTAGGCCATAGTGGGGTAGCCCACAAGGGGTACAACCCAATTAGGGTTAGGACTTGTATTCAGTTCAGGGTTTACTTTCTGGCGCGCGCTCCGAGGCGCGCGGCCCCGCTACCCCGTCGCGCTGCCCTAGCGGCCGCGTCGCGCCGCTCTCGCGGCCCCGATCCGCCGCCCTAGTGACCCCGTCACCTACCCCTGCGGCCTCAGCACCGCCCTTCCCGGCCCCGGCTCCGCCCTTCCCGGCCCCGGCGCCAACTCGGCTGGCCCCGTTGCTACCCCGGCGACCCCGACGCCGCCCATCCCGACCCGGCCCCGCCTCTGCTAGCCTCGTTGCCTACCCCTGCGGCCCCGGCGCTGCCCTTCCCGGCCCCGGCGCCACCTCTGCTGGCCCCGACGCCGCCCTTCCCGGCCCCGACGCCGCCCTTCCCGGCCCCGTCGCATACCTCCCCGGCCCCGGCGCCGCCCTTCCCGGCCCCGGCGCCGCCTATGCTGGCCCGGTCGCCTACCCTGCGGCCCCGGCGCCGCCTCTGTTGGCCCCGTCGCCGCTCCACCCGGCCCCGCCACCGTCCCCAAGTGGCCCCGTCGTCACCACCGAGCCGCCCAAGCCGCCGAGCTGCCGAGCCGCCTGAGTCGCCCGAGTCGCCGAGCCGCCCGAGTCGCCCGAGCCGCCGAGCCGCAGTTACTGCAGTGCCGCCGTGCCGGCGAGCCGCCCGAGCCGCCCGCATTGCCGAGTCGCCGAGTCGTCGAGCCTGCTCTTCCCACCACTGGTGAGCCCCTGCCTTACTAGCGCGCTGCCTGCCGCTTGCTTGGCTGCCTGCCGCTTGCTTGGCTGCCTGCCTTACTGCTGCTACTCCTGCTCCTGCTTCTACTGGAGGAGCCAGATGCAGCCCCAGCGACGTCCGCGTGAGTCCCTCACGCCCCAGCAGCTGCGTGAGTGGCACGCTGGTTGGGGTTGTAGGGGTGGCGGCGCAAGTACTGCTACTACTACTGGCGGCGGCCAGATGCAGCTCCAGCGACGCCCACGAGCGTCTCTCACGCCCCAGCAGCTTCTTGAGTGGTACGCTCTGTGTAGAGGGTCTCTCAGTTCTGTTCGCTGCTTGTACGTGATTCGCACTGGTGCTCGGACTGGTCAGCCTTGTG